GACTGATCCGACATTATTAAAATAACACGGCTTTATTAGTTTAGTTACGGACTTAAATATATCTTGTGGGTGGTAAGTACAGGTGTAATTCAATTGGGCACTAGTTGTTTGTTTGGTTTAAGTAGATTAACGTCCGCTTCACTACGAGTGGTTCGGTTATCCAGACGACTACTACTAGTTCCGTCCCGTGAAAGCGGCTGCATAGTTCGTTCGTTCGATCCGCCGCTATCGGCCAGGTATCAGTTTATCGGTCGATAGCGGCGAGGTATCTATTAAGCAGTTTATCGGCCGGTAGCGGCCGATAACCTCGCTCCGTTCGGGAAGGGACTGTACTAGCAGCGTTAGGCCCAATCGGTAACACCGGTCCTATCGGTAGGCATGCGTTCGCACCGGGTTCGTCCTGCGGTCGTATAGCGGCTCGACTTCGTTCGGGGAGCGTGCGTCCTGCGTTCGTGCCACAAAAAGTGGATACTTGGGCGTAATTCTAACTGTATCAACTATATTTAACTGGAGGCATCCTTAGGTGGTAGGGATTCAAAATTGTACAAATTGTGGGGTTGAGATCACAGGGGGCTGGCTGTAGGGCAGGGCCAGACATGCTTATTGGCTATTTTGCTTTAAGCGACTTCTTCACTGGAACAAAGAGATGGTTATCAACTATATTATGTTGGTTCAAAATTGAACAAATGGGGCCAAGGGGCAGGGCCAAAACGGGTTATTTGGCTATATTGCTTTAAGCGACTTCTTCTCTGGAACTAAGAGATGGATATCAACCATAATTGACTGGAAGCATCTCTAGGCGGTCGGGATTCAAAATTGTACAAATACTGGGGCTGAGAGGTGGGGCAACAAAGAGTGATTTGGCTATATTGCTTTAAGCAACTTTTTCTCTGGAACTATGCACTGGATATCAATCAGTTTTGGTTGGAAGCATTCATTAGAGGAGGGGATTAGTGTACAAATGGTGGGGCTGACCCCTTAAGTGTAATTTGGTTATATTGCTTTAAGCAACTTTTTCTCTGTAACTAAGAGATGGATATCAACAATGTTTGGTTAGAAGCATCCCTTGGATGACAGATTTCAAAAGTGTACACATGGTGAGGCTGAGTGGCGGGGCCAAAAAGGGTTACTGGTATTTTGCTGTATTGCTTTAAGCAACTTTTTCTTTGGAACTAAGAGATATATATAAATATCAACCATATTTGACTGGAAGCATACCTAAGTGGTGGGGATTTATACTTGAAGAAAAGGGGGCGGAGGGGTGGGGCCAAAAGGGGGCAATTTAGCTATATTGCTACAAACGACTATTTCTCTGGAACTAAGAGATGGTTATCAACCATATTTGGTTCGAAGCATCCCAAGTTGGTGGGGATTCAAAAGTGTACAAATGGTGGGTCAAAAAAGAGTGATTTGGCTGTATTGCTTTAAGTGACTTTTTCTCTGGAACTATGCACTGGATATCACCCATATTTGACTGGAAGCATCCCTAGGTGGTGGGGATTCTAAACTGTACAAATGGTGGGGCTGACCCCCCATGGGGCTGAGGGGCGGGGCCAGAAAGGGTTATTGGTATTTTGCTATTTTGCTTTAAGCGACTTTTTCTCTGGAACTAAGAGATCCATATCAACCATATTTGACTGGAAGCATCCCTAGGTGGTGGGGATTCAAAAGTGTAAAAATGGGGGTGGTGGTGGTGGTTTTGGGGGGGGGGGGGGGGGGGGGGTCAAAAAATGTTAATTTGGCTATATTGCTTTTAAAGACTTCTTCTCTGGAACTAAGAGATAGTTTTCCACAGTTAACTATATTTTGTTGGAAGCATCCCTAGGTGGTGGGGATTAACAAGTGTACAAATGGACAGGCTGATCCGTCGGGCTAAGGGGTGGGGCCAAAAAAAGTTCATTACTTTGAAATGGTTGAGATCCCCACCCAATAAACATATATAAACTTGCTGAGTATAAAGAGACGATTGCAGTAATGGTATAAGACTAGACCCTGTGGTCTAACCACAAACCTAGGGACCCAGTTTCTGAGTCATAACTTGGAAATAGTTGTGATATTCACCCATTACAATTGCTGGGAAAGAAAAATCTAATACAGATATGATACAAGGATTGGCCTTGGGGCCTGGCACTAGCCCTGGGATCTTATTTGGAGAATATTTTGCCATGATTGCTAAGATATGCAGGTGAGCGACACAGGCCCTCTGGGCATCTTGTTGACACAAGTCGTGATATGCCTGCCATTCTGGGAACTGTTCTAGTTTTTACCATTTTGCAGTTCAAAATGGCCACCCAGTCAACCATCCACCAGTCTTTTAGACAGGCAGTTTAACTTTGCTGGAAAAAAATAATTCTCACAGGCTACAAATGAATGAATGAACTTGAGTAGCCTTCAAGGACACGGAGGTCAAATGTATGAGCAACTTGAAAGAATAGCTTTTAGTTTTAAATTCAAAAACAGTGATAGAATTTGAGTGTCTTAAATACTGGCAATCTGTGGAAGTAGAAATTTCAAAGTTACAAAATTAATAAGTTTTGATATTACCTTTTACCAGTGTTCTATATTTTGTTGCCATGGAAACTAATTGATCACTACGATTTTTTTTCAGAAAAGTGATGATGGAGTATGCAGAGTTTGCTGGGGCAAGCATGTCCGTGTGTATCACTATAGGCCTGGCATCAGGTTCTCTCATCTCCTTGCTGCTAGTCAAAATGCTGTAGGACCATCACAGAACAGTCTCCTTGGCCACTGATTTGCAGAATGAACTGGCCAGATTATTCCAGTCTTCCTTGTGCCATTCGTCCGTGGTGCATTGTCCATCATTCTTTCTATCATCCCGTTTGTCCGTCCTTAAACAATTCTTGTTAGCCCTATTTCACTATTTTTAGGGTAAAAAAATTCACATGAAAGTTTCCCATGGACCCTTTGCGTATCAAATTTTGCGACTGTTTGGAAAACCAACATAGCTGACAGGTGGCCATCTTTAATTTGATAGTTAAAGATTGTTAGAACTTTTTCTGAGAAAGTGCTAGAGGGATCTTTCTCAAGTCATACATGAAGGGTTTCAATGGCTATAAGTTACACATATTGATTTTTTGATAGTTTAAAATTGTTAGTGTCATTTTTAGCTCAGTTGGTCAAAATGACTGGTGAGCTTAAGCCGTGGTGCATCGCCAGGCGTCCATCCATCTGTTGTCTGTCCGTCCATCAGGGTACATTAGGGGAAACTGAGGTGAATATTTAAAACCCTTCTTTTTCTGTACAATTGAAGGGCATTTTAACCAAATTTGGTCTAGAGTATCCTTAAGTTAAAGTCTAATATGAAATATTAGGCAGGTTTGCACAGCATAGAAGGGGGCTGCCTTTCATCTGCTTTCATCTCATTATAAGTAAACATCTGAGCAAATGTAGCATGTGGTCCATCAGTTCCCTATCAACATAAATATCAGTTCACAGGACCATCTGGGTGCTAGACGGTCTTATTACAAGACCTCTCCCCTTTTAGCAGGTCATGATTACCGGTCATAGAAAGGACATGCATCCAACCAATTAGTAATGCAGGGGTCAAGATTATTCTTATCTCAAGCTCAGCCAGTTGGGCATTCTGACCTCCCATAACACCACTGTCCTGACAGTAACACAGCAAACAAAGGGTCTCCTCCCCCTACCTAATTATTCTTATGTCAAGCTCAGCCAGCCAGGCATTCTGACCTCCCATAACACCACTGTCTTGACAGCAACACATTAAACAGAGGGTCTCATCTCCCTACCTAATTATTCTTATCTCAAGCTCAGCCAGCTGGGCATTCTGACCTCCCTTAACACCACTGTCTTGACAGCAACACAGCAAACAAAGGGTCTCCTCCCCCTACCTAATTTATTCTTATCTCAAGCCCAGCCAGCCAGGCATTCTGACCTCCCATAACACCACTGTCTTGACAGCAACACATTAAACAGAGGGTCTCATCTCCCTACCTAATTATTCTTATCTCAAGCTCAGCCAGCTGGGCATTCTGACCTTCCATAACCGCGCTGTCCTGACAGCAACACAGTAAACAGAGGGTCTCCCCTCTTTGCCTAATTTACATGTGCTATATTGGGTATTGGTTCCTTAATGATGAGGGAAAGAGTATGAGATCCAATCCTAGGACCTAGCGTGGTCACATGACAAGTGCTCTTTGTTCTAACAGTTCTAGCCAACTGCCCAGTTGTTTTCTGATGGTCAAGCTATACAGTCATACCATCCTCCACCCCCACCACCACCTTTATTATGTTTATTGGTTGCCTATCACTGTATCATACCTCCCTGGTTGACCCTCGGTCAACTGAAACAGCTTCACTCTTCACTATTTGGGCCTATGGCAGTAAACTGTCATCATGTAATAACATGGAACATGGATTATTAATGGTGCCAGTCTGCTGCTATACACCCCAAATCGGTCAATCCAACTCCAGAACCTAGGGTTAGCTGGACTGTATACATCAACTCTATATGGGCCAGGGTAAGACATAAAGTTGAACGCCAGGCCTAAGTGATGTGACTCCTAACTCTAGCCGACTTCCGGACATTTAAGCGACCAGGATAGGGGGAACATAGTAATAAATGTTTAAAATCCTTCTCTGCCAGTTCAATTTTGGGATTTCAAAATTATCTGGACCAGAGCTTTCTTGGGAAAAAGGAACTCAATTTTGTATAAATGGAGAGTGTGGCCCCCAGGGGGTGGGCTGAAGGGTGGGGCCCAGTAGGGAGGCCTGGTAATAAATGTTTGATGTATTAATTCTCCGTCAGTTTGAATTGAGGGATTTTAATCACGTTTGGTTCAGAGCATCCTTGGGCAAAGGGAATTCAATTTTATATAAAAGGAGAAAGTGGCCCTCAAGGGTTAAGGCAGAGGGGCAAGGACCTTATAGAGGGAACATACATAATGTAGTAAAAAATAAAAGTTTAATATCCTTCTCCCTCAGTTTGATTTGTGGGATTTTAAGCAAATTTTGTTTAGAGCATGCTTAGGTAGCCTTGTACAGTAGCGTACGGTGGCCATGGGTGATATTTTTGTACAATGAATAACTCCTGTAATATTACATGTATCAAAACTTTAAAAAAAAAAAAAAAAATCAGCTCTAAAATTGGCATATACATGATGAATTGGACTATGTGGACTTAAATTCACATTTAAAAAAAATAAAAAAATTGAATTTGGCTTGAGACTACATTTTTGGCCATTTACGAATCTGTGTCTACACAACAAAAGCTAGCTTTTCATGTAGTCTATTTTTGTACTCAGCACATGTGTAAATATTGTGAAAAGTCCAGTTTGACAACCTATGCTAAAACATGAGTTTCTGCAACCGAGTAGTTGATATTTAATGTTTTTTGCACTTTTTGGCCTTTTTTCGATGTGGTAACCATTGTTTTCTGGGGAAATCACATTTTGAAAGAAAAAAATATTTTTCTAAACAAAAAAAAACAAAAACTTGGGCAGAGGTACGGGGCCTCAATATGGAAAATTCATGTTAATGTTTAAAATCAATCCCACTTCATGGGGGCAGAAAGAAAGGCCCATTGAGGGAATGGTGTTGCTGACAGACAGAGCAAATGTTTAGAAATAGACTATATATATATATAGTTGCAATATTATTTTGAATTGGGATATTTTTCCATGGTTTCTTAATTATCCAGGTGAGCGATACAGGCCCTCTGTACTTGAGGGATCTTTATCAAATTGGACTTGAAGGTTCTCTATGGTCCCCAGATACGCATATTGTTTTTTTTGTACTGATTGGAAAACAAAGATGGCCAGCAGGCAGCCATCTTGAATTTGGTGAGTTAATTTTTTTTCGAAGGGCCAAGTGAGCTTATGCCATGGTGCAGCGTCCGTCGTCCGGCGTCAATATTTTACTTTAAACAACTTCTTCTTAACCCTTAGGCTGCTATATTGATTTCTATGTAAACGGACACCACTGCTGAATTAATTATTGAAATTTAAATTAATTTACTTGATTTTTCAAATGTGCATAACTTGGAAAATATTTGTTATATGTGAAAAAAAGTTATATGAAAATTGTTCGTTGTTGTCTCTAGTTTATATTAACGTTTTCAATTCTAAAGTTGCTTCAGTATTTACCTGTACAGGTGGTAATAAAGGTAAGAAAATGTGAAACTTTTAATTAATCGGATTTAAGCAAGAGGAAGATCATTTTAAAATTATTTTCGTCCGCAAATGTGATTGGCAAATGATAACAGAGATTATAAACTTCATTTTTGACATAAGACGCTGTATATTTACACGGAGATTCTCAGGTAAAAAGGTCAGGTATTTCGTCAAGAATTGCATGTGATTTGCTACAGGTTTCAGGTCGCCATTCAATAAATTTACTGTCACAGTCGGCATATAGATATATCTTAGCTACGGTCTAGTTTATGATTAAATCACCGATAAAAAGTTTGAAGAAATAAATCGGCTCAAAACGTATCAATGTCAATGTTCAATTCGGCCTCACCTGCAGACGACATGTGCGCCTCGGTCCGCCGATATTTTCCTGTTTGCGTAGAGCACAAAGCCGTTTACTGGAACGTTACATATTATGTAACACCGAAGTATTTCCACATCAACCATGCCAAACCCTTTAAAACCTTTATTATCATCGTAGGTGACGATGGAGAATAAATGTTCACCATCATATTCATCGCTTCAATCTACACGTCCGCCATTTTTATGATTTTTTTTTCAATTTGAAATTCTCTCGCACACCTTTGGTTATCAAAAGTAATGACAAAACAACCAATCAGAAGCCTTCTACTATACGCGTTCGGGTTTGGTATAGCAACAACCCGACTTCTCACTTCCTGGCTACCGATCAAAGCCTAAAGACCGAGAAACGACTATAGTCGTGCGTAGCACTAACGGCCCGG